TGTGTGTGTGTGTGTGTGTGTGTGTGTGTGTGTGTGTGTGTGTGTGTGTGTGTGTGTGTGTGTGTGTGTGTTTATTTTCTGATCTGTCAGACACAGATGTTCAGTTGAATGTTAGTAAGTTTATTGGAATGAACTTTGCGTTCAGCCAAAGCTTCTTGAGCTTTTGTATAAAAACTTACTTGAGCTAAAAATTTCAGCAGCTCAAAATCATTGGAGAAATACTGTATGACACTTTTTTAATGATTTATACATTGTGCTATTTTACTTTTTGTATGTGTGTTTATAAATTTTAAATGAACCAAAATTAAATAAATTAAAACAGATGTCTTGGTTTTTACCATCACAAAACAAAGTGAGATACGTTTCATAGTTTCACTGAACCTTAGACAGATGTATGTACCAGTTTGGTTAAACAATGCCACTCATCACTGGTGGATTTAAATAGTGGATGTTTGTTGTTTTTCAGATGGATGTTCTTTTTTCTGGACTGAAAATATTTCCTTTTATTTATTTTTTTTCTTTTGTTTTGTTTTTTGGTTGCTTGAAGTGGGGCAGAGTGCCGGATCCTGGCAAGCTGAGGGAGTTATACGCAGTGATGGAGCCTGGGGGTGGCCAGTTGTGGCCTTGGCCACCCCAATCAGGAAACGTTTTTAAATTCAAAATAAAAACTCCATCTCCATCTTCTTCTGCTTATATTCGGGTCGTGGAGGCAACAGGTCCAGGAGAGGAAACCAGACTTCCCTCTCCCCAGCGCCACTTTCCAGCTCATCCTGGGGGACCCCAAGACGTTCCCAGGTCAGAGAGGATACATAATCCCTTCAGTGAGTCCTGGGTCTTCCCCGGGGCCTCCTATCAATGGGATGTGCCCGGAACACCTCTAAAGAGAGGCGTCCAGGAGGCATCCTGATCAGATGCCCAAACCACCTCAACTGACTCCTTTCGATGTGGAGGAGCAGCGGCTCTACTCAGAGCTCCTCCTAGATGATGGAGCTCCTCACCCTAAAAACTAAAAAGCATAATTTCCCAAAATAATAGGATTGGTCTACACTGATTTACACAATATATTTGGTGGTGGCTATCTTGGATTTTGACTCGGTGTCCTAATTTTCTATAGTGATCTTTCTTACACCGAAACAGCCAGACATTACATGGAAGTCGATACTTTACCCATTTTTTAAGTTATCCAGCTCACAAGATGGTTGATGGAAGGTATTTCCACACTACCACTTTACTCCAGAAGGGAGGACAAAAAACAAAAATGATCTGTACCTTATTTTAGGTGTTTTTGGCACAAATAAAAAAAAAATAGATGGCTAAAATGCAGTATGTTTACTCCCAGATTACTCACAGTGAAGTTACATTACATCTGGAAACGTTTTTAAATTCAAAATAAAAACTCCACCTCCATCTTCTTCTGCTTATATTCGGGTCGTGGAGGCAACAGGTCCACGACCCATCATTTTATTTAGATTCGGCAGACTCAATCACTCACTGAGTTTGTAAAAGATGTCATTCAGTCATTTAAAATTCTTTATTTGGTGAGAGATTTGGAAACAGTTTGGCTTCAGAGTGATTGAGAAATAAGACAAACAAATTGCACAATCCCACATCTCACCTCTGCTCAGTCTGCTCACACAAATCCCCTTTGGCATCCCTGACGGAAATGAATCACAACCAATCAAAGTCCCTCTGTATCCAAATAAATAAATAAAAAATTTAAAAAAACTACGCCCCCTGTGTCACTACGTCGTGACTGGATGAGCAGCACAAAATAAAGTCTCTGCCAACATGTAGTAAGACCCAAACAGATGACAGCGGGAGTGGGTCTGGTCAGGAGACTCTATAAACATGTCAGATGACATTCAGCAGTCTTCCACGCCATTAGCAAGAATTTACAGCAACAGCAACAGGTCTTTTCATTGGAATACACAAAGCAGGAGATTTATTATTTTCTGGGTGTTTTAAATATCTGAGCTGATGAACCATCCATCACATACAACTCCAACTTTAATGTGAGCGGCTCTGMTAAATAAGTCAGAAGCAATGGGAGTCAAGTCTCTTCCCCATTCAATGTGACTGCAATTCACTGTGAAATATAAGACTTGATTTAAGTCTTAAGAAGTGGCAAAGGCAAGACCTGATTACATGTTAGTTTGCTTATAAAATGGAAAAATATTAGGGCATAGAAACAATTGTGACAGGTAGTTTTTATTTAATTTTATATTACAAATTGCCTAATAAGTACAAAAGAAGATTAATGATCTGTTTTTGACTAAATGTGCTTGTCTCCAACAAAAATAAATGCCAAGTTATTCAAAAGGAAAATACCATTTCATTGTTTTTTTTTCCCTTCTGCCAAAAGGCAAAGGTAGGCAATCATGTCTTTCACTGTCTGTTAGCAAAATATCTCATGAACCACTGAATGGATTTATATACAACTTTCTGAAACAATTCATCATGATGACTTCTACAGCTGATTAACTTTTGGAGTTAATCAAATTCAAGATGTTTGCCACAGTAATTCCAAAAGGGCATATTTTATAATGTTATTGGGCTTTGATTTGTTGTGGTAGCTAAAACTGATCCACAATACTTTTACAATAACTGCTTGTACAATAAATATATTTGCTTAAAATGTTGCCACTGACTTTTTAAACCAATCTTGTTCATTTGTTTGCACAATATCTCTTGAACTACTGGACATACTTTATTTAAACCTAAAACATATTGTGCATTTACAGCTGGTTACCTTTTGGAATCAATCCAATTCAAGATGACTGTCWCAATGTCATTCAGCAGCCGACCCTAAAATGGTTATACCTCGGTGAATTTGACAGATCTTGAGATAAATATTGATGTAGCTGAGACATTCACAACACATAATCCAAGCTGCAGTACAACTTGAGATATATTGTTTTCAAGACGTCATTCCTTTGACTAATGCAAGACCTTTAAAACAAGTCATGTATCGCTCATTTCACTTGATGCGCATTTTTTTCCCATAATGTTGAAATATGGCATCTTTTCTTTTTAAAATTGCCACAATGTCAAACAGCTGTGAAGAGAGGACCATAAATAAGTTTTAGAGGTTAAAAAAGTGGGTTTTTATGAGTTGCGGGCTCGTTCGGGTGATTCTCTCYCCTCAGTGCTCAATGCGTCTCCAAGTGCGCACGACCCGCGTCTGCAGCAGCAGCAGCAGCCGCCGCGGCGCTCCGCAGACCGCCTGCCAGGAACCTGGATCGTCTCTGGAGTCCTCCCCTCCTCCTCCTCCCCTCCAACAGGTGGATCAAGTCGACTGGTCAACATCGGTGAAAAAATAAACCCGGACTAAAAACCCGGAGTCGCTGCAGGACCTGGTGGAATTTATACCGTGGAAACTTGCTTTGTCGTTGCTCATTTTCCTTCCCGGGATTTTATTCTCTTTTTTTAAACCATAATTATGTTTGTGCTGATTTTTTGGTTTGATTTTTACGCGGCGACCTGAATGCGTTGTTTTTGACCAAATGGAAATCAAAATGTTCCGGATCAGGATGTAGGAGTACAGGCAAGTGTCCAAACAAGAAGAAGGAAAAAAAAAAAAAAATACCGTAAAAAATATAAGAGTGGAGAATGCAGACCAGAACAGAAAAACAAGAAAAAAAAGGACAACCTGGAGGTTTCAAGGCACAAGCAGATCATCAACATAGCTCTGCTGAGAGATCCGCACTGCTGTTGAACATCTGGGATGAAAAAAAAGAAGCAAATATCTGAGGTTTGTGTGTTGTTTCCCAAAACAAGAACCCTGCTCGCAGTCCAAGTTCCAATGCTCAACAACAACCCAAAGGTTTGTTCTTGCTTCAATCCAGAAAAAAAGTGTTTTCTAATTATTTCAACATACTGATGATTTCAACCTGTAAAGACAGCAAAAATGAAGTTCCTCTCATATTTACAAAATAGCTTTTGTCACAAACAAATGATAAAATCAGTGAAGCCACAGAAACTGATCCACATCTGCTGCATGTGCAATTARAGAAATCTGATCATTTAACAACAGTTTGACCTGCAATGTAAAGAACAAGCTGCACAATCTGGCTGCTGTCTCAACACAGCATCTGACAAAACGTGGTATTTGTGGCAGACATATTTTTGTACAATGTGGTTACATGATAAGTAAGAAAGAGTGTTTGCACAAGTGGAAGAAAATCAATCGTGTTTTCCTCTTCCTGCCTGTGAGTAGCAGCTGCATATTTGTGTCTATTTCTGTGTGCAGGGGAAGCACCTGAGAGAGTAAAACAGGTGATATACAGCAGTGGCTCCCAAACTTTGCAGCTTTCAAGCCTTACAACTACAGTTAGTTTGCAGGCTTTGCCAATAACCTTATAGCATGAATACAAAAAATACTCAACAATTAAGATTTTTGTTGTCATTCTTTTTTTTTTTTCAAAAATTATAGTGAAATTTAACCATTAGCAGTCTGTTTACATATAATTTGATTTCTGGGCCCTCATTTGATGTTTAGGTCCAGATCCTAACTTATAACTAACTGAATAATAAAGACAGTCTCATAAATCTGTGTTCATTGAAGTTGCAGCAGAGTGAGTGCCTTTGATTTTGTTTTTAACTTTCAAAACAATAATTGAATTTCTAATTAAAGTGRACTTTATTTGAATTCCATTTGAATCTCAAACTGTATCTTTTACTTTGCGCTTTGACTAAAAATAATAACAGCAGACACTTGTAGTGTGATTTAAGAGAAGTTCAGCATTTTAAATCATTTTTGTCCTTTTCAAAGAACAGTTTCTGTATTAAAACTCATGTGGTTGTGCTTAACTTAAGATTAACTCATTGTTCAAAGGTCACTGCAATCAAACCGCTGCCCACCAACACTGTTCTCAGATTTTACACATTAAAACAATTATTTATTCAATTTAATTATCATTGGGGGGAGTTAGAAAGCAGCGGCTGGATGTTCTACAGTTACAAGTGGGATTGTGCTACGTAAGTACAAATTGGCAGGTGATATAATTTACAAAAATGTTGCTTAGGAACACAAGAGATTGTCCCCTTGTGACATGTAGGAGAAATATTGTTGCATGGYGATACATTGAGATCAAACATTTGTTGCCATTATGTGTGCCGTTTTCTCTGATGCCATCCCATAATGTCTATATTTTAGAATGCACCAATGCCAAAGTTAGATAGATGATAGTTTTTACAGTATACTGATGCTTTCCTGAACCTTTAAGTGAAGCTAATAAAATATCCTGAGTAATCAAACACAAAAAAGTGAAGAAAGTGTGGCATCTAAACACAGCTTCATTATCCTGAATGCAAAATTATTTCTTCAAGCTCTAAACTATTTTTTTTAGTTTTACAGAATATGGAAAAATGGGGGGAAACAAATCAGAAAATATACATAAATGACTGGATGAAGCAAATGTTTTTCACAATCATGAGAAAACGGTGATGAATCAACAAAGCACAATAAAAGAGCTGCTGGGTGAACAGGAGTTGACTGATGACACATCAAAAACCCACCTCTAATTACAAGCAGTTACAGGAGACAAGATGGTGTGAACTTTTTTAAATACAAAAGCTAATTTGATGGATGATGTTTTGACTGTGATATTTTTCGGTCGACCTTTACATTGTTTAGTAGTAAACACTCCAGATGGATGCTGGACCCTTTAGGTTTAACACATTGGTGCAGGGTACAGAACCACTTTAAATCTCATGTCTGAAAAGTACCTAAATAAATGAAAACTTAGAACTGCACATTTGTTTGCATCAGCTGATAGATTTAGGTTTAACCCTTGCAGGAAACCTAACTCATCTTCTTACATTGGACATTGTTAACTATATAATAAGCTCGTTTACAGCTTTTAAGTTTTCTTTTCAAATTGTTGCTTTGCTTGCTTGGTTTTGTAGGAAAATGTACATTTGATAAGTGATTTGGTCATGAAGTCAAATTATTTTTTCATCTTGTTAAAAGAGTTTCACAGAAGAAATAAAC